GTAAGGCTGGTGATGCAATGTTTCCATCAAACCTATGTGTGCAGATGCCTGTTATGGAGTTGCGTGAAGATCAGATAAATTGTGAAACAAGGCCTACAAAGGAAGAGTTGAGACAAGAGGTACGAAAGGAGTTTCAATTGCAAGATTTCATAGAGGAGGCGGCAAATAAAGCATTTCAGCGAATGTCAACAATTGATAGAATAGGCACAGAACATGAAGGGCACAGTCTAGGGGCAGCTGACAGTCTAAGAGGGAGGGCTGAGCAGAGGAAGCCACATACGGGTAGCAATGAGGGAGATATGATACAAATGGAAAGGGGAAGATTAGAATTGCAACTACAACTGCAGGAGATGGATCAACAGCTGGCAGAAAAACAGACGCAGTTAAATAAATTAACGGACAGACAAGGGGTGTTTAAACATGAGGAACAGTTTTGCTCTGGGGGACAGGAGGGAGCTACGAACATGGCACAAAGCAGCAGATCAGTGCCTTATAACCATAAATTACAGGATTGATAGGGTTGCGGAACTAGTCGGGGATGTCATAGATGTGAGTAACAGAACCAGCATGCCAGAGCATGCCACAGGCTTCGTGAGAGGGAGAGCGTTCCTCGTCTATCCCTCCTCAATATTAACACAGAAACAGCTTGCCTACTCACAGCCGCCTGACCCCGCTGGAAGCAAATATAACCTGATAAAGGAGAATAATAGAGGTGACAGGGAGATGGTAGTCCAGATGCCATTAGTTCAGACATGTAAAGATGAAGGTAGGGTACAAACGGTCAGCTACAACCCCCTAACTTATACTGACAGTGCCTTACTTAGATCCAAACTTCCAGATCCAGATCCTAAAAAAGCAGCACAGACATGGATTAAGGAGTTTTTATCTGTTTTTAGCGGACAAACTTTAGCAATCGGTGACCTACGGACCTGCTTTGCAGCCCACCTGGAGCCACATGAGCTGCACGACATAGAGGTACATGTGGGGACGAGTAACTTGATATCTTCTGCTCCGCTTGCCCCTGTGTCGGACCAATTTTGGGAAGCCCTAAAAGCTACCTACTAAATAAAACAAACTGTAATCTTGTAAAGGAACGGAACAAAGAAAATAAAGCAAAACAATCACAGAAAAACAATACCCAGACAAATATGTCTAACCCTGAATGTGTGACTCTTGCCAGCACGCACGTGGAGGAGAACTACCAGATGTACCAATACGCACCGGCAGCAGCGTTTGCTGGGGGACGTGGCAGAGGGAGGGGCAGAGGATACGATCAAAACGACAGGTATACAACTTGCTGGGTCTGCGGACGAACGGGACATAGAGCAAGGTGGTGTCAAAAAGGTTATCCTTCACACCGTTCACAGTCCCAGAGGAGTGAGCTGAGAGAGGGACAGAGATGCCAATGCCGCAAACCGCCCCACCCCAAGCGAATGCCACAATACTAGGGAGGCCGGGATCCCATTAGTTGTGTAGTTACGGTGATACCAGTGATAGATATTTTGATTGAGGGCAGTAACTGTTCTTTTATGGTTGATACGGGGGCCAGATACAGCACCCTGAATCTTTATGTGCCCACCTCCCAAAAAACTACACAGGTAATGGGATTTTCAGGAGGAAAACAAACGTGCCACTTTTCAGAACCCCTTAGAGGTGTCCTCCTATTTGGAAATTCTAACATGTCATTTTTGGCGGACACTTAGATTAGAAATCATTGGGTGTTAAAACTTTTTTTGATGTCTAACATGAGCAAATAAATCTGGGGTTTTCCATAAATGTGCACATGTGGTTTAAAAAGGATCCTAAATGAGGCTGAAAAGCACTGGTGCAGAGGTCTTAGGATCGGAGTGGTGAAGAAATTATGATTTTTTGTTTAAATTGGGAAAATTCCTCTATGAAGATAAATCAAAATTGATACTGATGGATTAAACAAACTTTAT